ATTTTCATAACCATTGTAATAATGGTCATGATCATTATCATGCTAGCTGAGTGAAAAACCAAAATTAGCAAATCATTGAGTTTCTTTGTCTGCGTGGGCTTTTCTGCAGACTCACATCTGTCTGGTTTTGTCACTTTGGATACTGTTTTGCCCTAGTGTCCGTGGTAACGTGGATGTGGACACCTGTGACAGTCAGAACTACTTGTCTGCAAATTCCCTCTGCAGCAGTCAGTCAGTGCCGTGTTTCCTCGCCGTGATACAGCGATTTTTCTATGCCCTTTCTTCCTGCTTTCCCTTCTAAACTCATGATCTGTGTACTGAAGAACGACTCGCTCTCTCCAGACCCAGGCATGAATTTACTGCCTTCTGAACAGTTTTTCTTTCTTTTTTTTCTTCTACGGGTCATTGTCTTATCACTATTCAAGACAATGAGATCAGATGCACTGTTTGCTCCCCACCAAGAAGTTTATTTTGCACCTATCTTTTCAACTGGATTATTTTAAAGGACAAGACTCTCAAGTGGAAATAGTAGTAGTAGTGTTTTAGCCATGATGGTTTAAGGATATATGAAAGACAATTTTTACATGGAGAGATAATAAGAAGTAGGGGGTAAGAAATAGTGGGGAGTAAATTTTGAAAGGCTTAATTGTTCATTCTGGATTTTTAAAAATCATAAGTTATCAGATGCCTTTATGTTGTTGTTCTTTATTTTAGAAATCTTGTGATGCTTGACTTACTTACTCCCAAAATGCCTAATTTTAATTCACTTGAAACAAAAATACTGTGTATGAACTAAAATTCAAATGGGTTTTGTAAACCTCATCCACAATTGTATGTAGCACTGCAAAAAATCCACTGCAGATATGTTTGGGTTCTGTTCTTTTTTAATGTAAAAAAATTTGTACGTGGATAACAGAAAGTCAGACTGATTTCACCATATATTTTCTGTGGTCAGCTAGACCTTATTGCTGCAGTGGTTTTCTGGCAGGGTTCTGCAGTAGCACATATCGGAGCGAGGAGTGAGACCCCTGCTCCTGCAGCTAGGCCATCAGACGCCATTAGCTCTTCTGCTAAGCCTTGCCGGGCGAATGCATTCAAGTACCGGGTCCCTAAGGAACATCTCTTGGATAAATACCAGAAACATCCACTCACCCAGAATCAATGCACGTTTTGATAGACTGAGCAGATCTTGTTATACATGTTATCTCGTTACATTTGTCTAGGTTTTGCTTTGTATGTTTATCTTCAAGTTGACAGCCACCTAAAATGGGCTTTTTATACGCTGAAAATTAACAGTAGTTTAGTGTAAGCTATTTTCACCACAGGTACTAAATAATGTCTAGAGAAGACATGTTTTTTATGTTTTCCCAATCTTTTAATGTTTGTAAATATCATTGTGTGTTCCATATTGAATACTCTTTAACCAAGTGTTACTGTCTCTTTTAAATGGGTAAGAAACTGAGGGTCATCTAAAATAATTTTGATTCACGAAAGAAATTCATAGGCTGAAAATCAATCCCAGGACTCGAGAGTGTTAGATCATTGATTTAATCACAAAGTAAGTCATCTGGTCTCTCAAAAAACCACATGATAAGCAAGCTTACATACATATGTACCTATAACTGTAGATACAAAATCTATAGTAAAATTATTTAATGATATAGAAAAATGAGGGGGTTTTTTGGTTGCTTACTCTAGGGTGTGTGACACCCATTGGCTAATCTGAGCTAAACAATTTCTGACCGTGTTACTCTTTGAACAGCTTACAGTTATCCTGTTTAGCATGGAGGGAAGTGGGATTTGGAGAGACGTACAAATCTGGATATTTTTAAAATACTTTTTTCTTAGAGGAAATATGTTTCTGTAGAAAGTGAGAGGTAAGTCAGAAAAATGAAGCGCAGTATCATTCTCAAGTAGCTTTTTAGCCAAAGAGAGGAATTACACACTTCCTGAGAGCCTGCAGTTTGGTACTGCAGTTGTGTGGAGGGTAGCAATGAAAAATGATCTTCTACTTCATTTCTTAGGAATAGCTCTTTCTGCTGGTTTTGAATGTGTCTCTTTCACTGTCTATTAAATGTGAATCTCAGCAGATGAGGTTTACAGGTCAAGATAAAAAAAACCTCCAAAACCTACACATAGACATAGCAGTAGAGTATGCCTGGAAATCCTGTCTTCAATAAAATACAAAGATTTCAGTAAGAGTCTGAGGAACACAGTACAGTGAACAACAAATTTGGTATTTGATGAATTAAGTCTGTATCTTCCCATCACACTGCTGGATTCACTGCCATTTTAATAGGAGGAAAATACCCATTGATTTCAAGAGACTTTGGGTCAATCTGTCAGAGTATTGACAAAACCCAGAGATTTCTCATATACCTACAGTATATATTCCTATATTCATCTTACTAACAATCCTTCTACTTCAGTGCTGCAGAGAGCTGCTGCAGAAAACAGTTCAGCCTGAACCTTGACTTGTTTCCAACGAAGGTAAAGATGGAATTGTTATAGGGCTGTCAGGATCCAGGTCTCTTTGCACTAGCTGTGCATAGATACTAAAGACAAATGATTCACGGGCCTTTGTTTAGATTTCCCCCAGCTTCGTCCAAACCCTTTCTCCCAGGCTGGAGAGCTGCCACTGGCAGGGGACACTGCCATGGAGAGAATATTATCCGGCGAAAGAGCCCACTGGCAGGAAGCTGCTGAGGGAGGAATGAGAGGCATGGCCAGGAGGGTGATATGGTAGAGCTGGAGCCATGAACTAAAGCAAAAGTGAATTGGTTTTGGCTGGGCAGCTCCTAGAGCAAGAAAAAGGGCACATTTAACTGCTGGAAGCCCCACAGATTCCTCACAGCAGGACACAAGGCAATCACAAATCTGGCTGGCACTCTGGTTATACAGTGGAGCAAGCCAGCTGGCTGTCCAGGATGAGAAATTCAGGCATAAGGTGGGAAGGAGGGACAGTGGGAAACTAGGGAGCTAGTTCCCAGTTTGGGAAACTAGATGCATTTGGCTCCTGAGTTTTGCTTCAGCTTAGTCAAGTCCACTGCTGCCAAACGGTACCCAAGTTCACATGCAAAGAGGAAGTGCAGGGAAAGTGCCAAGAGCAAAATTGAACTGGAAATGGAGGGGGAAATCAATTGGAAAATGCTTTGAAATGATTGACTTGGGTTTGATTGCCACATGGGGGAGATCTAAGCCTAAACAGTCGTTTCAGAGCTGTGTCACATGGGGGAATCCTTCAGCAGATGCAGGGTGAGGCTCGACACTGTCTTTGTGACTGGTGGGACAGCTGGATGACTACATCAAATCGTACCGCCAGATGACACGTGAAGACCTGGTGACATTCCTGGAAAAAAACAATTAACAGCTCATGAAAAGCAGAACTGTTCCTACCCTGTAATCCTTCTGACACACTTTAACTTTCCCCATTATGGTGCTTTCCCTCTAAAACGTGCATGCTAGCTGTGGGAAACAAAAACATACAGCCCCATGGGTTATATGCCCAAAGCTTTCAAAGATACTGTGGATTCCTTAAAAAAGCCAAATGCTTCCTCAGGCGGGAAGTTGGACACAGGTTCTGTAGGTCTTTTAAATGACAACAGATTAACATCAAAAGTTAGCTTAAGTAAAATTTGTTTTCACCGTAATGATTATTTCTTTAAATATAAAAAGCAGAATTGCTAAAAAGCTGCTTCTTAGATAATACAGTCCAGTCTATCCATTTTGTACCGTGCTAAAATCATCCAAAGGAAACAAATCGGGCATCCATCAAAGCACCGTAGTCAGGATTAAAAAACAGACTTGCAGACACTTTTATGTAAAATAGTGAAGTACCTCATGAAGCAGCTAATAACAGGTTGCAGCTAGTTGTTGTTGTTTAAGTACAGATCCCTGACAGTTGCAGAATACAGGCGCTTTTTAAAGTCACACTGAATACTGATGTGTATATCCCCAGTTCTGTATCCCCACCACCGATCCCGGCTATACAATTTGTCCTTCGTGGCTTCTCACGCAGAGCATGCAAGAAGAATAACTTGAAGAAGTCTAGGATCAGGAGACAAGTCATATGGGCTTAAAGCCATTTTTGTGTCCCCCATACTAGAAACACAGTATCTAAAGCTAATATCCAATGGTCTGTACTTTTAAATCCCTGCCTTTACCTTTACCTGCAAGGACTAACATATTGCCAAAAGGGTTATTTGTGTTGTATTTTTAGTCCAGGCACACTGAGTCTGGATATTTCAGAAAACTCAGGCTGACCTCTGATCTAGTGGAGCTGTGTGCCAAAGTATGTGCACTCGAGCTTTCAGTTAACTGCCCTCCATATGTACTTTCAAACCTCTTGAGGTCAACCTAGAGCGTGTTTCACAGCTGAAGTTCGTCATCTCTGAAATCACATTGAATCTTCTGCTTTCTGTTTACAAGCAAGAGAAGCTGCAGGTGGGCTTTTAAGTGCCTTTATTAAATATTTTAAGTATATATGTTTTAAATGTTTATTTAAATTATATAAAAGTTTATTTAATTATCTTTCTATATTACCAATGGCACGTTATACTTCACAGACATGTGGTTTAGCTGTAATTAACATCAGATTTGTCCACTGCCTGTCAGACAACTGTAGATGATGGTACCCCACACTGGAGCCAGATAAACTTGCACTCAGAGAAGTAGTTGGCTTGTCTAAAAGCACAACAAAATCAGCTTTGGATCTGTGACCAGAACCCAGCTTTCCCAAGTCGCACCTGACCCATACTTAAGATGTCTGGGGCATGGGAAGGCACCGGTTAGCTGTTGGTTATGGAAGACAGGGGAGTTAGTGCGAGCAAACCAACTTTCAAAGAGACACTCCCATAAAAAATGGACATCCCAGTGATAGGGGGTTTGTTCTGCGCCTCTCATGCCAAAAGAAGGATCTGTGCCTACCCCTGTCTGTGGGTCTTCATGAGCTGAGGATAACCGGTGCTGTGTCTAATGACTCTACTCTTATTTCTGCTTAGTTTTCAGGACTTTACTTGTTGTCATTCTTCACTATCCTTGTTGGGCTGGTGCTCTATTCCTCCACGTCCACCTACGTAGCCCAGGATCCTCGGGTGTACAAGCAGTTTCGAAACCCTTCAGGACCTGTTGTAGACCTGCCAGCCACTGGCCAGCTGGAGCCTTCGGTAACATACACCAGCCTGGGGCAGGAGACGGAAGAGGAGCCTCACGTTAGAGTTGCTTAAACCCAGGGCTGTCGATCACCTACTGATGATTCAGTGGAGCTCGTATATCCATTATCTCTGTATTGTACATAGAGAAAGGTATTTACCAGGTGCAGTTACACCGGTGAGCTGCAAGGTAGCAAATAAGGAAAGCTCATAAAAATACAAATTAATTGTTCCAGGGTGTTCATTGCAAGGAGACGCCAGTCCCTCGTTTACGGTATGAGCAGCATGTTTGCAATACAAACTGCTGTATATGAATCAGTTAATGTCAAACTACCTGTGAAAGATATTCAATATATAAGCTGAAATTACAAAAAGAAATTCCTAGAAGGGTGGTTTTGCACCCACTGAGCGATATTCTGCCTAAGCCACACCAATTGTGGAAAAGCCGCCTTTTTACAGCAAATACACTTGTGCAGTCACTGTTAATTTCTCCCTAAGATTTGTTTGTTTGCACAAAATAGATGGGTTACTCGTGGTAGCAACACCCTGACACATTTTTGCTAGCACCTTGGATTTGGTGAGGGAAAGAACAAATTCATCTGTGCTATCTGTCTAGTTGCCCTTTCTGGGTAATCTGTTCCATGAATCCAGAGGAGGGACAACTTACAATATCCGTCTCTATTCTAGGAATAGGTATAAGGCGAGCATTTTAGCCTTTCTATATTTGCAGAAGTGAAGTACTCAAGCATTGACCTCTCTATGATCCATGGCAGATTTCCTAGCAGCTGAAGTTCTGCATCAGGTAACAGGGAGTTAGTTTCTCTGTAGTCATGACTTAACACAGATTTCTTACTTTTTAAATTTTAATCTGTAAAAAGAAAAATGCATTTTCTAGTTTCCTATGTATTGTACCTCTCCATGGTAAGATGACATATCATGTGGATCAGGGCACTTATTTAAGAGACTCAGTGCATCGAGGGCGCCTTCTGCTGTTCCAGTTTGCTTTGTCTCCTGTGGTTCATTATTCTAACAACAGCTATTTAGAAATGTGTCAGTTTTTCACCCAAACCCACAAACTGTAAAAATCAGGAAAATTAAGCGAGGAATTCATGAGCAGAAAAACTGGACCATTTGCTGGTGTTGCTGCAGTAGCACAAAGGCATTCATACCGGCAGGGTGCAGCCAATTATTTTTCATTAACTACAAAACTAGCAGAAGAATTCAGCAGTTTTCTTACATTCCTGGGGACATGTGAAAATAAGTTAATGTGCCCCACAACTGTACTTCTGCTCCAGGAGCCTTATCAGAATGGGGGAAATCTTAGTCACCACCATGAAAAAATCCATCTCTGCCTGTATGTTTGCTCTTCTGAGAGCCCAATAAAAGGAAATCATTATTTCAACATCCATCATCTAGTTTTAATTTAAAATTAAGGAAGGGGAGATGGTCTTACATCTAACAGATAGGAGAGGGATCCAGGAGAGCTTGGTTTTATTCACAGATCTGCCGTATCTCTGCGTGATCTTGGGCATGACTTACCTTCTGTGTGGCTCAGTTTCCCAATCTGTATATATGGGAATAATGATATTTTACCTACCTCACAGGGGTGCTATGGGACCAAGTTATTTTAAAATGCTTCAGGATCTTCAGAAGAAAGGAGATTAAGAAGTACACAATAGTGCTGTAAAAGTGTGTATACATTCGTTGTATTTGAAAATGGAGTTTACGGCAGGGTTGATGAATATTTTGCTTGCGGGTATAGAAGATGAATTCGATTTGAATGTTATTCTGCTGAAGAAGTCTGTCTCAAGCAAAAATGTAGGGCTTCATGTTTGAAAAATGCAACTATTTAAAAAAGAAAAAAAAAAATCTATCTGTACTCTGGAGATTAGAAAGGCCACACAGTTCAACCAAGCAGGATGAATTTCTGCTGAGGTAACATTCATCTTTTATAGCCCTGTTCTGCTTTAATGTAGAAGGGACTTCCCTGAAGCAGACTGGGAGAAGTAGGTATGCATAATATACATCAAGTGGCAAATGCCAAAACACTGTTGAACAGCAGAAGTATGTTGTACCTTATTCTTGCTGTGGAGGAGGGGGAGAGGCGATTTCTGTCCCACCGTGTTCAGGCTGTCTGCCACGATCCTGCTGCAGCTGAGGGAAGGGTCCGCAGTATCGCCAAACCATGCCCAAAACCGGCCCAAAAGCTTTGGTTAAGATGGCTTGGTTTTAAAATCGTAACAAATGTATGATTTTTTTCCCCTGCCTTCTCTTTATTTAATCTTTTTAGCACTCATGTTTCCAAGCTTTTTCTCTTAAACCACTGAAGATTAAAAAAAAAAAAAAGATTCCCACAGAGAAACAGAGTCCATATTCTGGGGATATTAAGGAAATTCTAAATACTACGGGATTCAAAGAAAAAAATTAAAAACCACACAAGAAAGATTACCTGATACGTCAGGGTAAGGTCTGTGGGATGGAAGTCCAGGTGGGAAGCGCATGGTCGGGTGAAGCCCTCATGCACAGGGGCCAGCCAGCATCCTCGGGTCGAGCCCTGGGAGGGCTTTGACTTGAGGTGGGTTTCGTACATTCCCCAGGAGCAGGGGCTCTGATTACAACCACCACGGCTCCCTCAGGTACCCAGAGGCACACTGGCGGGCACCTGTTATCTCAGTCTTTTTTGCTACCTTTTGTACCAATTAAATACCTTTCTCGGAACATTAGTCCCCGTGTTGGTCTTGAGACCTTTGAGGATTGCGTGTGTGCGTGTTTGTTTCATGTTTACAATTCCGTCCTTTTGCATAATTGTTTTGGTTAATTTCTTTATTAGTATTTATTTTTAAGCCAAATGTTTGTAGTCTTTCCGCCTCCCCCTCTTCATTTTTCTGACACTAACTTGTAGACGTTTGTTAGAGTCTTCTCAGAAACAGCTGGGCAGGAGGCATCTCCTGGCCAGGTCACTGGGCTGGGAGTTTTTACATACAAGGGTTTGCGATCCACGGGTGGCTGAGAGGTGCCATCTGAAGCAATTTTTATAGGCTATCTTAAAAGGCTCTGTTGTACGGAAATGTTATGAATGTTTCGGTGTGCCCTCTGCGCCCGGCCACCCTCCCCTGTGTTACTCGCACAGGAGGAGTCTGATGTGCAAAGTGGGGCTGCTTCACTGTCTCTGTCTCCCGTTAAACAAGGTGGATACTTGGATGAGCACCAGTGCGCTAGCGCTGGATGGACCTCAAAGGAAAACAGTAGTATAGCTTTACAAGTAACTGTGTTGACTGAAAAACTGAGGCCTAGTAAAGGAAAACATTACTTCTACCTGCTTGTTTTCTGCAGTTCGAGACCTCAGTACGCACCAGCAAAGGTTCAGCTATCTAACCGGCAGCTACTCTCCGTGTTGCGTAGGACATCTCTAGCTCTGTATAGCTCCTTGCCTGAACAAACTGAAACTCTGTTATACTGCTGGCCCTGAGCAGCCCTTAGCAAGACTGATGTAATTTTCTGCTACTGGATGAAAACCTTCACTGGGAGACAGACCTTGTCTTTGCTCCAGCTATAAACTTTCAAAACACACAACGATAGACCAAGCAATTGACAATTTTGCACCACTGTGTCATAAGAAGAAGTTTCAATGTATAGTGTAGAGATTGCTAACTTGTGCTATTAACATTTTGACAAGTGTGTAGTATCGTTTTCTTTCCTTTTTTTTTAAACCATTTAGTATTCCTGCGCTAGCTACAAATATAAATTTTACCCCATGGGTAGGATTTTATTGTTAAATGCCATAATAAAGCACACTAATCTTGACACCACAGATGGAAATACGAACCAAAACCAAAACCAAGCAAACAAAATCCCAACCCCAAGTCCTGCATCGAAAAGCTGAACAAACCTTTCTCCATTTTGATATTTGCATGCTCCTATATGGACTGGCTGTGGCAATGTAATGCCTGTATAATGTTTTCAAATAAAAAAAATAAATGCTTTATGAAAGCGGGGTTATTAGTTTCCTTGCCTGTTTCCTTTCTGCTTTCTTAGCCTAAAACAATTTTTCTGAAGTGTAAATCTTGACTGCGGGGCATAATTTTTCACTGTGCTGAGGACTTCTTTCCCTTGTAAGGTGGTTAACCTACAACTCCTTCCAAGGTGTCTAAGCATAGGTGCCATTAGGCACCCTCAGGTACCTCGCCTGGCCCCGAGGTGCTACTCCAGAAGAATAAGGGGTCTGCTGCGCACCCTCTGTCTTAACCTGCCATTCCCCTATGGCTCGCTCAGGTATCCTGATATTCCTTGCCCCTCATTTGGGCACAGAAGCACCAAAGCACTCCCCCCACTGCCTTCCTGAACTGGCTAATCACTCTAGAGTTCATCTGGAGTATGTATGATGTGGAAGGGCTTGTCTGGCAGAGGTTATTGAGTGTCTGCAGCTGCCTTGCACAGCCCTCCCTCCCGGCTGCTCTGCCCTGCGGGGGCACCTGCAGTGGCCCCGCTGCAGCACTACCCCCTGGAGAGTCCTGAAACAGGAAAAGAAAGGATGGAGACAAAAATTAGCCATCAGAGGGAAAAGGAGTGTCAGGAGGAGCAGAATTGGGGAAAGAGAAAGAAAGAAAGAGGGGAGAGAGAGAGGGGGAGAGAGAGAGAGAGAGAAAAGAAAGAAAGAGAAAGAAAGAAAGAGAGAAGAAAGAAAGAAAGAAAGAAAGAAAGAAAAAGAAAGAAAGAAAAGAAAGAAAGAAAGAAAAGAAAGAGAAAGAAAGAAAGAGAAAGACAGACAGATGAGACTTCGGCTTGTTTAAAGTCGACATGGGAAGATAGGAAAGGAAGATCCTAGGTGTGTGAGAGCAAGGGATTTTGTGAACATGTATTCACTTCTAAGAGTGTTTGCCAGCGTATGCATCTGTCCATCTCTCTTTGCCTGATGTCTCCGCAGGAAACTTTGCATCAGTATTTCTCACATATTTCTCTGCTGAGAATAAAGAAAGGAGTGGAGACTGGTGAGCTCATTTCCAGCCTCTCCCCGCACCGTACCTGCATGGAACCCCAGACATTACAAAGCCAGCAGTGCTGCACCAATGTCCTGGTTTATGTCTGATTTTCCAGTGTGATTGTTTCCTGAGTTATCAAGAGCTCCAGAAGCTGACTTAGTGTGTACATGGCTTTATCATGCTAACAGTTGATTTGTATTTTCCTCCAAAGCAGCTCAAGAGTCTCTCTGGCATTACAAAAATCTCCTTTTATTGCCTGGCTAGAATTCAGCCTGGGTGCTTGAGACATATGAATAGTAATTGCTTGGAATTACTCTAAAAAATAGATCATAAACAGGCATTAATGGATCTTCCTGTGCTTAAAAACATGTTTCAACGCTGAAGGACACTCGATCAGCTTAAACCTACCAGTCTCCCTTTTTTTTTTTTGTTTATTAAGAACTAGTTCTCCAAAATATTACAAATCCAAAGCTGAATGCTTAACAGCAATATGCTGTGGCATACAAATAAGGAAGCAATACTTTTTACAGTTATAAAAGTTGTTTTGTTAAGTCTGCTCCACAATTTAAGACAAAAAATATGCCAAACCTTTGCGAAAGGGAACACCTCTGCTTGTGCAGCCATAGACCTGTTCCCACAGCAATTGCGAAGTGGGTAGCAAATGCCAACAAGCAGCAGTGATGATGTCATTGGAGTAAGAGCGTTGGCCATGTCATCCTCCTTCAATTTGAAGTGCAGGGTCATGCGCTGCGGTACTTATTAATAAAAATTCCTGCTACCTGGAGGATGCTCATGCCATAGGGCTGGGATCACTAATCAATGATTAGTCACAGACTGGCTGTGAGCCACCAACATGAGACAAAAACCCACACATTGACCACAAAAAGTCAGTTGTGAGCCTCAGACATCGTAACTTGCGTTGTAATTGGTATTTCGGGCTCAGTAAAAGGCCCACAATGTTTCTTCAGGCCCCATCGCTGGCTGGGTGGCCACGAGCAGCCTCCACAGCCTTGGAAAACACCACGGGTGGCCTGTGGTCCCATGACGTCACTGATGGGTGCAGGGAGGAACCATGGTGCTGCCTCTTACCAGCATCTCCCTCGGCAAGGAGGAGCCCCTGCTACCACTGCTACTGTAAAGCAACCAGGTGGAGGAAAACAACTCAGTTGAAAGTAAATCCTGAGGCTAAATATGAAAAGCCAGCCCTCTCTGCAGGCCTTTCTGTTGTAAAAGCATACATTTGCTGTTGTTTGGGGGCATTTTTTTTCTTATCGTAGAAGTTCCATTTTTAATTGAAAACAAGGCACTGAATTCCTCTGATATTCATGAGGTCAGAATTTGCCCCTTTATGGATAGTCTAATGTTGGAGAATCTCTTTAAGAATACAAATATTGTCAATCCTATGTAGTGAACAAATATTTGTAAATTGAGACTAGGTGAAGCTGATTTTATTGGGTTCATAAATTTTATTCTACTTAGATTCTGATTGATTTATAACCTTGAGTTGAGCTATAGTTGAATTTTTGTGACTCCTTATTATGTACAATGCCCTCAGGCAATTGGCTAGTGCTAACCTGATCTTAATAATGCATTATTAATTCTTTACTGCCAAATACATTATTTATACTAACTATTGCATTTTATTCCCCACGTCTTAATAGCAGTAGACTCATCCAATTTTAACATAACTGCAAAGTTGTCAGTGTGAAATCTTCCCCTCCTTCCCATGTGAAATATGTACATACTTGTCAAGAGCGAAGTATTGGATTTACCATGGATAAATAAAGGACTGGTTTTATTCAAGACGTTACCAAAGCGGAGATAGATAATGAACATGTGCTGAGTTTACATGATCATTGAACACTGAAACGCTAAGTGATTCGACTACAACGTTAGAGATGCTTTGCCTATAGAATAGTGACTGTGGTAGTTGGTAGGCTTGGATTTTTACAGGTGCAGAACGCCTGCGAGCTCACGGATCAACGTTATGTGAGGTCATGCATATTTAACTTCACACTGCCTATAGTAGCCAGTGTCACAGAAGCCTGGCTTTTTGCCAGATCCATAGCGAACTAGCAATCAGCGGTTTCATGTTCTTAAAATGACTCCTTGCCTAAATGAACTTCCTAAGTGAGAAGGGGAAGGGAATGAACTAATCACGACAATAATCTGAACAGTCTCATTACGTGACTCCCTGTGAGCTGTGGCTTGAATTATCTAATGTAGTTCTTGGCATTAAACAGATTTGCAGATGCTAACTAGGTCACACATGTATGCAACCATTGGAGTGGATTTCATAAGTTTTTTTGTCCCCATACTTCCTCTGTGAGCCTACACTTTAATTAAAGAGAAAAGAGAGTACCCACAAAACAGGATGACAACTTTATTAATTTAAAACTGTTGCAGTTCAGATCTTCCACGCTTCAGCCTCCATTCAGCAGGATTCATTTAATAACCAAGTTGATGAGAAACATTAGCATTGCAGGACCTGCTTTGACATTGCATCCTCGGAGCACACCACCTCCTGTGGCAGGGCACACTGCTACAGTGCAAGTGGGCCACGCTGGCCAGCAAAGCGCTTGAAAACCCCAAAATTTTAGTCTTTATTTTAGTCTTGAGCTTTAATACAACTTACAACAAAAGGAAACAGGATTTTAAAGTAAAACAGGTATGTATTGAAAGAAAAGAAGAGGATAGCACCTAGCCCCCTCGTACCTGTGCTCTGTTACCCAGTTTGACTGACAATCTTTTTTCCCAAGTCACCATCCACCAATTTCCACATGGCCAAGACAACTGCTGAGTTCATCTTCCCTGCCCTTTTGCTCCAAGTTAGTCACACTACCTTCTGAATCCCTTACCTAAGTGAATTCATTCACATCCTCAAGACCCTTAACTGTCCTG